CGTCTCCGGCTTCACAACAACCCAGACAGGCCACTCTGATTCCTGTTCGCAGTGGAGAAAACCGAGGCTCAGAGACAGCCATTTGCGCTACGTCCCGCAGTTTCCAGGTGGTGGAACGAGGAACCGGCCTTACCTGGCTGCGTTTCCACTTTCCAAAGGACCCTTTGGAGAACCCAAATGAGTTAGCTAGACACCTGCCTCTTCCTCCCTTCCCTACCTGGAACCGCGCATGTGGCAGAGGGACCCAGAGAGGTCCCATGACGTCAGAAGAGCCTTCAGAGCCCCGTATCCCACCAGCTCATTTCTGCAGCTGTGTGAACCGAGGCCTGGGAAGAAGGGATCTGAGAATGTTTGATCACGACATACAAAATCACGAGTCGTGGCCTTGCACGCAGCTGGTACGTGGTCTGCGGCTCGAGATCCTCGAGCCCTAAGTAAAGGCAGTGGACAAGGCAGGCGATGCCAAGGAGCCCTGGCAGCTGGGAAGCTGTGGGATGAGTCTGTCCTTCTGCACTCTGGTTCCGTCTGCAACACATGCAGCACGTAGGGGAACTCTGCATGGTCCTCCTCACCGCACCCCTCACCCAGACCCACCCTCTGAGACGGAGAGCCAATGCTAGCTCTGGGGGAACACAGGGCAGGTGCCCCTGCCTCATTCTTCCCTGCCTGCAAGTGATTAGACGAAAGATAACATTCCACTGGGCTGAGTGAGTAGGCCCCTGACGTGCTGATTAGGGCATCCCCCAGCCTCCTCCGGCCTGCTCTCAGCTGTCTGTCCATCACTGCTGCAGGCAGGCGGTGGCCCCCAGCTCTAGGAATGTCCGGAATCCCCCTCCCAAACTTACAGCCTCTCCTCTCCCCAGACCTCCTCCCCCCCAAGGCATCCATCAGCTCAGGCCTTTCTGGAATGCGCTTGCTCCTGGCACCACCAGGACCCGGAAAAGTCAGGCTAATCCCTCGGCACATTCATCACACATCTTGGAGAGAGGAGAGTCTGCCCTGACCTGCCAATGGACCAAGACGGATCATTGGAAGGACAGACAGAGCCCAGAGGGGCGGGAAGGGAGCGGAGCAGGACACACAGGAGGCAACGGAGCCACCTCTTGGCAAAGCTTTTGTACTTCCAGAATCCTGGCATTCAGGAAATGCAGCATGTTCCACAGTAAAGAGGGGAAGACTGTTGATTGGTTTTGCTGTTGCTGAGGGGATATGTAAGTCTTGGAAGGTGGCAGCGGCAATGCCAACTCTTGCCAAATGCTGTCTCCTTTTCTCCCACAGCTGCCCAGGAGGTAGGCTGCAAGGAGCGTGGGTCTCCCTAAACCCCACAGTTTGGGGCCTCTTTCCTGGCGCAAACTCCTCGCACTGCCTGGCCCTCCCGTCCACTTGGCGAACTCTCTGCAGTCCGTTCCCTCTTCAGGTCCCCATGGTTCTCATGGCCTTCTTCCCTCCCTTCAGTCAGTATCCTTGTCCCAGTGTCATGTTATTGTACCTGTGTCACCTGCACTGCATAAAAGCAAAGAGAACCACATACGCCCTATAAACAACGAGGCATCCCCAAATCTGCCACGTGCTGGCTGTAGGACCTAATGCCAACTCTTGCCAAATGCTGTCTCCTTTTCTCCCACAGCTGCCCAGGAGGTAGGCTGCAAGGAGCGTGGGTCTCCCTAAACCCCACAGTTTGGGGCCTCTTTCCTGGCGCAAACTCCTCGCACTGCCTGGCCCTCCCGTCCACTTGGCGAACTCTCTGCAGTCCGTTCCCTCTTCAGGTCCCCATGGTTCTCATGGCCTTCTTCCCTCCTTCAGTCAGTATCCTTGTCCCAGTGTCATGTTATTGTACCTGTGTCACCTGCACTGCATAAAAGCAAAGAGAACCACATACGCCCTATAAACAACGAGGCATCCCCAAATCTGCCACGTGCTGGCTGTAGGACCTTAGCCAGTTACTGAACCTCTCTGAGCCTCCATTTCCTTTTGGGTAAAATAAGGATAATGACTTCTCAGGGTCTACCTACAATGACACTCTGAAGTTCTGTCCCAAATATCCCATTCTAAAAGGAGTTTAGATATCAGAAATAACCGAGAGTTCTCAAAGCCAGCGTAACATGTTTTAAAGGACATATGAGCTCATTTAATACCAGAACGGTGGACTATTTATTTGCCTATGTCTATGGATGTTAAAAAAAGAAACAAAACTAGATCAGAGGAAAAACATCAGTCTTCACTTTTGACAGCTTTGCTTGAAGGGGTTCTGCAAACATCGACTGAACGCGTCTCTGTATTGGGCACTGTACTTGGACTTGGAATACTGCAGGGAAGAGCTAGCCCCTTTTCTCAAGGGGGCAGAATTCTGGCCAGGCAGGTCCTTAACAGGGTGCAAGGTCCTATCATGGGGGCAGTACTGGGTTGGGAAAGGCAAGCCAGACTGATGTAGGGGGGAGGCATACAAGGAAGGCTTCCTGGAGGAAGGCTATTTACTAAGAGCACCAAGGTCACCCAAGAAGAGGGAACACAGAAAGCCAGGAACTCTCGACTGAGGCCACATCCAGCTCCCGGACAAGCCTGCTTCAGACAGGCCGCCTGTCTCCTAGAACCCCCTCTGGACTTTGGCCCCAGAGGCAGCTGGGTGGCCGGGGAGCACGACCCTCAACATAGATCACCCAAATCCACAAAGGCCTCTCTCTGGGCCGGCCCAGCCTCAGGGAGGAATGCAGGAAGGGTGGAGGGTGCACAGCCTTCAGCCTTCGGGGTAATTTTAGACTGTATTGTCATGCCTGCCCAGCCACCCCGCCACCGCGCAGACAGGTTCTGGCCGAGCTGGGAAGGGCTTCTGGTCTGAAGCCCTTGAGAGGATGTGGGCGTTGGAAGGAGGCCAGGACAGCAGGATGGGCGGCCGGACCCAGCCAGGCCCTTCCTCAGCGGGGGCAGGACAGTCGGGGTGGGACGTTGGCACCTAAGGCTTGCACGGTGACAGCACCTTGCCTCCGCTACTCCTGATAAGAAACTGGTAAAGGAGACTAGGATGACTGCAGAGGAATTCCGAGGCTGAGAAATGGGGCCGAGGCAGAAAGGCATGAGGCTGCCCCCCTCAGCCGGGCTCAAAGTTCTGCTCGAAGCACCTGGTTGGCTGCCTGGCCGGCCCATGCACTCCAAGCACTCCAGCTCCAGATGCAGGAGTCACCACACCTCTGCGCCTAAGCGTCCTCGTCTGTGAAATGAGATTAATAGTCGTGGAGTCCGGGGCTGGCAGATGGTGTGGTGGTTAAGGGTGTTGTACTCCCACATGGCCAAATGCAGTTTGAGTACTGGACCTGGTTCGAGTACCAGCAGCTTTCTCACTTTCTCTCTCTCTCTCTCTTTTTCTCACTCTATCCCTTTCTGGTCAAATTAAAATGAATAAATAAATGGATAAATAAAGTTAAATAAAATAATTGTTAAAAAAAGTAGCCATGGACTTTATGTGAGAGGGCGGTTGTGAAAGATACATGAGACTGTCTGTGTAAAGGGATTAGCAGAATGCTTGGCACTGAGTAAGTGCTCAAAAATATGAATCATGGGGACCAGCAGTTGGCGTAATGGCTATGTCGCTGGACTCCCATGTAGTTGACCATGGTTCAAGTCTCGGACCCAGTGGCTTAAACTTACACCGGGCATGTGTGCGTGAGTGCCCAAGATCCCGAGAGGAGAACAGAAGAGAAGGGATTGCGGCGGGGCCATCCCCCCTGGGGGGGGGTGATTTCTCGCTTTCTGTCTCTCTGTCTCTGTCTTTCTGGTGAGTGCACACGCCCTGTAGCAAAAACCTCTTCAAAATACATCTATCTATCTATCTATCTATCTATCTATCTATCTATCTATATCTATATCTATATATCATGATTAAATCATTACTTCTTTTAAAAGCTTATTTCTTGGGACCAGCAGATAGCATAATGGTTACGTCGCTGGACTCCCACGTAGTATACCATGGTTTGAGTCCTGAACCCAGGGGCTTAAAACTCATGCTGGGTGTGTGTGCATGAGAAGGGATTATAGTATGGCCATCTCTCCTGCAGGGTAATTTCTCATTTTCTGTCTGTCTCTCCAACCAGCACACATACCCTACAGCAAAAAATCTCTCTCAGAAAACTCCCCAACCACCACACATCCCCCACAGCAAAAAATCTCTCTCAAAAAAAAAAAAAAAAAAAAAAAGAGTTTATTTCTTGAAAGAGAGAAAAGCCCCAACAGTGTCTCAGTCAGCCCCAGATGACTATACTTGGGTGCCTGGGCACTCAGGGAGCTCTTCAGACACAAGCCTGGAACCTCTCCCCCCTGCACCACTGTCTAGCTCCTCATTTACTATTGAAGAGCCATGAACTGGGATTCCCAACTCCAAACTCTGGTCTCAGTTCTCATCCCTGTGGCTGGCCTCCCATTCTAGGCTTGTATTTCAAGGCTGTAAAGGAAGTGTTTTGAACTCACATCAATGGTCTTCTGGCACAGGGGCAGGGAACACGTGTGCCCTTTTCAGTAGGGAGTGGCTTTTCCTATAATAAAGTTCTAGGCTGCCCAGTCATCTGTGATGTGTCCTCTGAGGTAAGAATCACTGTCTGACCAGAGAGGCTCTTGGGAGTGGCTGTTGCACAGGGAAATGGCCTGAAAACATAGGAAAGTGAAAACAGTTGAGGATCTCCCATAGGACCTGGAAAGGCCCGTGGGGTGGGAGCTACCTGAGAAAGGAAGACTGGGTCATGGTGAGGAGACCTGAGTTCTGCAATGTCTTTGCGAAGTGGCCGTGGATGGGCCTGTCCCCAAAGCCTATGCCCTCATCTTTA